GTCTCTTAATTAATGTCTTCTCAGTTTTTGTCTTTGCCTAGACCCCAAAAATTTCCTAAATCCGCCCCTGAATATATCCAATAAAGCTAAAAGGATCCTAAAAATGGGCTCAAAAGGTCCAACAACTTTTGCAGTACAAAAGATTGCCACTAGATGGCAGCAGGGACCAATAAAAGCTGCTGTTGACTTTTTATTTGTGTGAAACCATAAAGGTCTCTTCATTAAAGACTTTTCTCTTATTCTCTTTCTTTAAGTTCTCTTTATAAGGTCTGTTTTTAAGATCACTGCCATGCTTTGTATCTCTATGTCTGGATACTTGAATGCTCCTCCTGGCAGATTTACTACACTTTTATTTAGGTTGTTTTCTTTTACAGCAGAGAGCTTTTAGTCACAGTTATAATCTTAATCTTTGAAATCAGGGCTTACCTGAAGTGGAATTCTACCTCACTTTCTATTTTTGGTGAAACTAGTTTGTGTATTCAGAATTACACTCTAATTTTAACATCGAGGTTATGTCTCTCTTTTTTCTCTGATATCATTTTGGAAGCAGTCCTTCCTCTCTCCTTATTTCATACACTTTTGCCATGCAGCTGTGAACATTCCCCCATCATGATACTACCGCAACCATGCTTAAAAACTGGGCAGTGTTCTTAGGCTTTGACATCCTCAAACATATTGTTTATTGTGGGGAACAGCTTGGTTTTTACATCATCCTACCCTAAAACTTGGCTCTTCTGCATGTTCAGTTTTAATTTCTTTACAGCTTAAAGGTGTTGATGCTAGAGCAGCAGCTTTTGTGGTTGAGCGCCTCTCAGGTGGTGACGTAACGAGTGTCGCCGCTCCAGACGTTTACTTTTCATAAATGGAGTAGGCTCCTTGGTTTCTGAGATTGTTCCTGGAAATTCTAGGTGAGATAGTTCAAAGCAGGTGGTTTAAACTTTAGAACATCTAGAAGCTCCATTGAGGAAGCGTTTTATAAAACCTTGGCCTGTATGGAGATGGATTTTTGGAAAGTTT